CGGGATGGGGAGCTAGCGCGCGACGGGTCCCTCGTTGCCGTTCGGGGCGGCGAAAGGCAGCGGTGACGGGAGCCCAGCATGTGCATGTGCTCAGTTCCGCCGAATTGTACACGTAAATGGTTAAGATTGTAAAGTTCATGTATATTTTACCACAATACAAAACACACACATCCTAAATGTAAAAGAGAAAACTACAGATTTTTTTTTTTTTTTATGAGGTAGTGGTGTAGCGGAATGTAATGGAGACCCCGGGAGTAAGAAAAAGATGAATAAATTAATCTACATTAACCTCCTGGTTTGCCATTATTGTAGGAGATTCAGGCAATGGATACCGTGTAGCAACAAGAACAGGTTCCTGTTCATCAAAAGGCATCACTAAGCGCAAGTAAGGCAAGTCACAGGGAGGAAGAAAATAACTATACATATTTTTAAATAACTTAGAACATATAGTTTCTAAAAAATTAAAGCGACAACTCAATAGAAAAATGAGCACAAGGCTAGAATGAGCATTTCACAAAAAGCGTACGAAAAGGCGCTTCATTTCCTTAGTCTTCGGAGAAGCGCACAGTAAGACCGCAAGGTGATGCCACCGCCCTCGCCAGAATGGCTTCGGTACGAAAGCGGGGTGACACCGAGCGCGGGTGAGGACCTGGAGCACCTGGAGCTCTCAGGCGCTGCATTCGTACATCGGTGAACTGTACATTCGTACACTTTGGGAAACAGGCTGTATTCGCTGAAGCTGCAAAGCATATTCTAAAACCAGCAATTCCCCCCCAGGTATATCCTACAGGAATGGTTTGCAATAAGTTCGTGAAAAAACGTGCGAACATGGTACGCAGCACTTCATATCAGCCCGAACCTGGAAACAACCTAGATTCCATCAAGAATGGAATGGATGGCCCTGGCCAGTGTTGCTCAGTGGTTGAGCGTGGTCCCATGCACCGAACGGTCGCCAGTTCCATTCCCGGTCAGGGCACATGCCCAGGCAGCTGCTCAATGACTCTCATCATTGATGTTTCTCTCTCCCTCTCCCTTCCTCTCTTTGAAGTCAATAAAAACATATTTTTTTAAAAAACAAGCCAAATGGAATAATAAAAGATGCAATATCATCAGAAAAATTATAGGATACTGAAATGTTTGCTATGGTCTGGATGAACTATTTCATTGAAAAATGCACATTTCTAAGAAGGTAATTATTTGTATGTTTTTTGCAACATTGTGATTGCAAAACTTGGAGGTACCAGAGATTAATGAGCAAGTAAAGTTGATAAATGTACACCATGAAATACTATACAGCAGTCAAAATGAATGAGTATGACTAAGAATCAATTTGGATAGTTTCCAAAAATCTGATGTCGAGTGAAAAAAAACAAAACTGCAGAATGTATGTATAGTACTAAAAAATGTAGATAAATGTATGATCACAAACGGAAAGGACAGAGTTAGCCATTCTTGAGTACCTACTATGTGCCAGGTGCCTACCTTAATCCCCACGGCAACCCACTGAGCTAGTTACTAATTATGTTTTCTCCTCACAGAGTAGGAACCTGAGGATCCACGAGACACAGCCTCACCCAGGTCCCACAGCTGGAGGTCCCACAGCCCCTCCAGGCCCCTCCCTGCTGGGCCGCCTGGAACTCGGCTGCCCAGGCCTGGCCCTCAGGCCTGGGCAGGATCCTGAGCTGGCTCTGGGCAGGAGGCCTTGTAACTCCAGCCTCTGCTCCCACCCCTGCCCGCCCCTCCCTCATCTCGGCCTCTGGCTGGGCTGCCCACAATGCCTCCCATTCAGCCCTGTCCCCGCTGCCAGGCCCGCGGGCGGGGAGGGGGCTCCTGCCAGCATCCAGACAGGGACAGACGCGGCCTTTCCCTTGTGCTGCTCCTCCGGGCTGGACTGACCCTGTGAGGCGGCATGGAGGGGTGAGTCTTTGGGCCCCGACTGGGGGGGGGTTGGGGAGCTAGAGAAGCTGAGTGGCTGCGGTCAAGCCCCCGCCGCTCGCAGGGCCGATGGAATCTGCCTGGGCAGAGCTTCTCCAAGGGTCTCCTGGAAGTGGGCTCTGAGGAAGGTAGTGTGTGGGAACGTGGCTGCTCCCGTGGCCTCGTCCCTTGGAGGCTTGTCTGAGAGCTTAGCAGCCCTCTGAGCTCCCGATGCTTGTCCCTTAGGGATCTGTCCCCTCCTCCAGGTCCCCCTCCTTGGCCCACCCCTAGACTCAGCCTCACCACGGTCTGGGGGATGCCATGACCCTGGGACCCCAAGGAGGGTGAAAAACAGATGGTGACAAAGCAGTGAGTGGAAACGGGGGAGACCCAGGGTGGGCACCCAGCCGAGGGATCAGGAAAGGCTGCTGTTGGGGGGAAGCCAGGTGGAGAGGATCCAAGGGGGGGGGAAGGGGACATCTGTAATACTTTCAACAATAAAGATAAATTAAAATAAATAAATGAATAAATTAAAAAAAAATATTCCAAAGTCTAAGTTCAATTTAACTAAATCAAAACCTAAAGAGGAAGTAAAAAGGCTGCCAGAGGCGCTGGCCAAGCCTCGCACAGGCCGAGGCGCTGGGGGAGGTTGAGCAGGTTCCCGCTGGGGAGCCAGGAGCCCAGACTTCCCCCCATGGGCAGCAAGGTGATTCTGGGCTTTTCAGCAGGGCTGTCAGGGCCCATCTGTATTTTGGAAAGTTCCCTTTGGTGGTGGGTGATGGGAGCATTGGAGAGGCCAGGCGACCCCCCTGGGGCAGCGGTTGTCCCCAGGAAATTGTAGCATGAAGAGGTCCAACTGGGGGATGGATGGATGGATGAGTGGGGGTGGGGTGTGTGGACAGATGGGTGGACAGACAGGTAAGTGGAAGACCTTGCCCGAAGCTCAGCCCCAAGCCCAGACCCTCCTATCGCAGTCCTGGCCAGCTCGTGACACTAAAGTGAAGGGAAGACACAGGAATAGACAGGAAAGAGCAGGACTGAGGTAGTCGGCTCACCTGTCAGGATGGCTCTGACCAGCCCTCAGGACTTCTTGAGGCTCTCGGACCCCACAATTCCTGGTCCCCCAAGTCTTACCCCACAACTCAGGCAGGCCGAAGCCCTCCCCTCTGGCTGCCAGGCTGTCTTCTCCAGGTGGGTGCCATGCTCCCTGCCACCGCGGGGTTGGGGCTGCTCCCTCAGGCCTGGCTGCTTCTCCCTCCGCCCCTAACCTCACGCTGGGAGATCGGGGCCTCCCCCTGGACCCAGAGCCTCCCCACAGCCCGGCACAGATGGAGGCCCAGAGTCATTCTTGCATTTAGCAAGGCCTCCCTGAACCGCTGGGCAGCCAGCCGAAGGGGTGTGTCAGGTCTCCTCCGAGCCTCAGTTTCCTCCAGCGTAAAACAGGACTAACAATAGAGCCTCTGCTACTTGTAGGGGCTGGGGAGGTGCAAGGAAATGACGGACACCTTCCCTGGGGCCAAAGGACCGGAGCCTGGGCTCTGAGTGGACAATGTGGGACCCTTGCCCCTGTGAAAAACGGACTCTCCCTCTCTCTCTCAGGCCCCAAAGCATCTCCTTGGTCCTGCTGCTTTTTCTGCTGCTGTCGCTGGGCCCACACAGGGATGTAGCCGCCCAACGCTGCCCACAGACCTGTGTCTGTGACAACTCCAGGAGGCATGTGGCCTGCCGGCACCAAAACATCACTGAGGTGCCCAACACCATCCCTGAGGTCAGCAGGGCGAGGGGGTGGGGGAGGAGAGCAGGAGGAGTCTGGGCTGGCACTAAAGGATTTGCCACTGCCTGGCTGGGAGGAGACCTTGGAAAGTCACTTTTCCTCTCTAAGCCTCAGTTTTCACATCTGTAAACTGGGAATGACAATAAGCAATAACAGGGAGACAAACTATTTAAAATCCTCTGTGGCCCTGGCCGGTTTGGATCAGTGGTTAGAGCATCGGCCCACTGACTGAAGGGTCCCAGGTTCGATCCCTGTCAACGGCATGTACCTTGGTTGCAAGCCTGATCCCTGGCCCTGGTTGGGGCGAGTGCAGAAAGCAACCAATTGATGTGTCTGTCTCACACTGATGTCTCCCTCCCTCCCTCCCTCCCTCCCTCCCTCCC